TTGGTCATTTTTGAGCGAGATGCTAACGGTCTAATCAGATTCAATGATCTATGCTAAGCTACAGCTAAAAGTGCTAGCACCAGACCCGGAGATTGGCTGAATGGATTAGAAAACGGTAAACTTCAACTGTTTAACTCTAGGGGAGTTGGAAAATTTGTCTATTTTCAAAAATAGTGGAGTGTTCCTTTAATACTGCAAAATGTGTCAATTGCAGTGGCATATATTCACCAGCATGACAAGACGTGCAAATGACACTCAAAACGCCAGCTTCCTCTCCTGAATTAAAGGGAGTTTTAGTCTAAATAAAAGGCTAGTAGCAGGACTGTAAAATGAATGGATGAAGAGAAGAGAGCGCCGTAGTTACGTTTGAGATCACTTTATTGGCTGGACGCGCCTCTTTAAATGGTTTCATGGCGCTCGTTGTTATATTTTTAAACACAATCGCAATGTTTGCAATTTACATTATTGGCATTTAAAATAAAATGATCCCATACGTAACTGCGGCAAAACACACTGCTGCTCATATGAAACATTTTAATGCGAGTATGACACAAGCGAGGTACAAAGCTTTGTTTATAAGATAAATAATTGGTTAGCAGGCAAATGTTACATCGTGACCATGCTTTTGGATTTATAACGAGCCCATAGCCTATATTAAAAATCCATTTGCGGCTATGAGTTCTGGTTTGCCGTTTGGTCACGAATTTCCACAAACTTAATAATATTTATAGTTTTTTTTCTTTTCCCAAATCCTCACCGTCTCACCCTCTAATTTCACAGGTATATTTTAAATGTCATTCACGTTTAATCTCTGTTTTCGCATCTCTTACTGTGGTAAACATGCTGGGGGGGGGGAATGAAAGATTTCGTGGACATTAATTAAGAACTTATAAATTCGTTCCCTCATTTTAGTTAAATCATGGGTTATTTAGGGAAGCGTGATCGGCTCGGAATGCATTTTCAAATCCACATTGACTAGTCTACACTAATCGCAGGGTATTTAATGAAAATGCAATTGAAACCTCTTAAGTGTAAGTGTCAATGCATTTAAGAAAAATAAGACATTTAAATCACCATTTCTGCTACACCTTTGGCTCAGAATGCATTTTGCTACAATTTTCACAAGGTATCACAATGAAAATGCAATCCCAAGTCTCCTACCCTTAAGTCTAAATGCATTTAGGAAAAACGGCATTTAAATTATAATTTTGCTACACTTTTTGCTATGGGAAAATGTAAATTTAAATAAAGAAATGCATTGCCATTTTGCAAATTACATTTCAAAATGAATTTTGCTACCCATATGCTTCCATACATAGAGGGTTGACTTTCAAAACTTAATCTCGGCGGTTTTCACCTAATTTTGACCAAAACGGCATCATGATGCAAAATTCCTACTGTGATATAAGGCTATGTAATACAGCTTAACTTTACACTGAAAAACACATGAAACTGAACAGAATCGGCACACATGATTATTATAGTCTCTGTGTGTGTGCGGCTGAAGGGAGAGAGCTGAGCGCTGGTGAGTCACTAGATTACAGTTTGAGTGGATATAGATTAGGGTTTAGGGAACAGCACACACACACACACACACACACACAGAGACATAAGGAGCATCCTACACTCGACCCAAAGCCCTGCGTCATCAGACCAATGCCAAAGGCTCGTCTCATATCTGCAGACTCATGCACGGCCGGTTCAGCATGTACCACTGTGACTCATCCAGCGCTTTTATCCAGGAACAGTTTCACATTTCCAATAACTGGACGTTCATGTAAGGTGAAACTGAGCAACTCGTCCAGCCGAGCCAGACAATTAGACCACTGGCTCATGCGTACAGTGACTAAAGACGGTCTACTCATTAACTAGTTGCCCAACAACTGGCTTAGGTCGACTAGTGTTTTTATCTTTAGATTTTTCCCGGGGATACATTTGGAGACTCTTCTCCGAGGTGTTTTAGTGTGCTGACAGCAGCATGCTAACGGTCCAACAGTAACTATTACTGTCAGCAGGGTAAAAGCCTCTCTAAGAAAGTCTAAATCCATCTATAGCACCGCTGCTACAGACACTGCAGCTTTTGTAACCCACCACATGCAACAATAAATCATGTAATTCCTTAAGACAGACTACTTAACGAACTGAAGACTAGAGCTGTACGATACTGGAGAAACCTGACATTGCGATATTTAGTTTTTATGTAATATACTGTATAATGCAATATGGAAAAAGACAGGAATATTCACCAAATGACCTGAATAGCCATATTTGGAAAGAATTAATCATTCCTGAATTACTGGGGTGATTTTGTTGGGAAATGCATCTGCATAGAAAATAAAAATGTTTTTTTTTTTTTTTTTTATGACTTTTAATTGACTCTGAAGACTTTTTTTTTGGAGCATGAATCACCCTTTTAGGGGTTGAACGATTTGGGAAATTTGCAACAATAGACCTACAACTTGTTTTAGGAAGCAGCAGCCGTCCAGAAGTTAGCAGAGAAGGTACTACCCTCAGAAAACATACAAATAAAGATCATTTTAGATGTTTAATTACTATTTGGAGCATTGGGATCGCTAGAAGAGGGCTTAAGGAACTCATTTTTGTGAAAACCAAAACTGACATTTTTCTTTTTTTTTGCCTGTAGCTCAAAATTAGACCGTGCGCATTCACACTCATTTTGCCAGCACGGGTCACATATTGTTCAGCCCTACTGAAGACTCACCTGGTGGGCCCTGCAGATCAGATCCAGGTCGTGTTTGTGAAGGTACTTGGCCACCACTTCCGCTCCGAAGGTGAAAGACACCCCTCGGTCGTTCTCGCCCCATCCCAGCACGTCCTTATCCGGGTCGGACCACAGCAGGTCGCACAGGAGGCCCTGGTCCGGGACATCTGTGGGTCTCATGATCCTTCTGATCTGCTCCATGGACTGCAGATCAGGAGACAAACCTGAGGAACAACAGAAACCACTCGAGATTTCACGTTCCTAGAAAGTCTACTGGACGAGTTCCTAGATTCGCGTCATCTGTTCAGGGATCACACGGGGATTCGCACTGACTCAGCACTCAGAAATGTGGGAGATGATGTCAGTGCAAATCATGAAGTGATGAAGTAAGATGATTTACACACCCTAAACATTTCAACAACACATCTTGCGGCGTAAGAACTATGCTGAGAGGAGAGTCTCAGAGCAACAGTAAACACTAAAGCAGATGTTCAGGCTTCTCGTTTTACATGCGTCATGCATCTGAAGTCCTTCCTGCTGCTTCACCAGAGAAAGATCGTCTGATTGAGAAATTACTAAAAGTAGCGACGCAACTAAAGTAGTATTTCTTTCTCATGAAGCATTAAGAGGTTTGATTCACTTCAGCAAACCAGTTCGAATGGACATTCACATTAATGACATTCATATAAATTATTTATTTTGTAATATTGGCAATTTCGATCATCGATAGGTTTCAAAAACGAGTAATTGCTGTAATGGAGATAATGAAAATATCTGAAGACTGTTATGAAAATTAATGTTAAAAATAAAAATATGACATGAAAACCTGTCTATGAAAACATGAACACATGATTAAAAGTTATGATTATGATGCAGCAATATTATTAAAAAAGAAGCATCTAAAAAGGAATAGCAGCCTGGGGTGAAGCTGAAGAGTGACTTTATGCTAATAAACTGAAGCCTGTTCTATGACACTTCCTATGATATAAATCAGATGACTTAGATACATAACATAGACATAACATTACAACTTGTATTTTAACAAAAGGATGCAAATGTCAGTGAACTTTAAGTTACGTGCTATAGAGCGAGAGAGAGAGAGCTCCGTGATGCACTTTTATAATATAGATTTTACATTCTATAAAGTTCTCATTATAATGCTATGTTTATGGCAGATTTGTGCTATATTTTTATCTACATTATCAAGTGATTCCTGAAATAGCCCCCGCGTGTTTTCGAAGCCATATGAAGTACGAAAATTTTTTAATTGAAGTATGCCTAATGTTGAACAACTATGCTGAAAAAAGCACTGCTGCATTATTATAACATCAGTATTTTTAAAAAAGAAACATCTAAAAGCAATATGACCATCTCAAATAACAATATCGGACATTGCATTTGAGCATGAAATTAAACACTGGTAATATGCAGCGCATTCAGCATGTTAATAAATGTTAATAATATCCCAATGCATCCTATATTAGATTAATCAGATATGTATGTTGCTAGCCCAGACATCACTATGTGACTTCGAAGCCATGATTCTTTTTGGACCACATGCTGTGGCAAGCTAACCAATCAGAACTCAGGGTGCCACCCAAAGTGCTGCTATAACCAATCACGATCATCGTTTTCATGATCGATCACCGCTGCCACGGCCGAGTACTCGATCGCTGTTGCACTAATATCATTGTATTAAAATATATCATTAAATACTGTTTTTAATTCAGTTGCATACGTTTTTATTTTTTAGCACTCTGACTGAGATTGAGATTATATAATGTATCAAATCAATTATACATTTGGTTTTTCATTTCTTTGTTTTTGTTTTTATTTTAATAAAGGCTGCATTAAATTGATCAAAAGTGACAGTAAAGACATTTATAATAGATTTCTATTTTTTTTTTTTAATTGTTATTTTGAACTTTCTATTCATCTGTGAATCCTGAAAAATAAAATGTATCACAGTTTCCACAAAAATATTGTGCAGCACAACTGTTTTCAACATTGATAATAATCAGAAATGTTTCTTGAGCAGCAAATCAGCATATTAGAATGATTTCTGAAGATCATGTGACACTGAAGACTGGAGTAATGATGCTGAAAATACAGCTGCGCATCACAGAAATAAATTATATTTTAATAGATATTCACATAGAAAACAGCTATTTGAAATTGGAATAATATTTCACAACATTACTATTTCTATTGTATTTCTGATCACATAATGCAGCCTTGGTGTGCAGAAGTAACTTCTTTCAAAACATTTTTATAAAAATGTACCGACCCTTAACTTTTGAACAGTAGTGTATATTTCATTTAAATTTTTTTTAAACAAAATATCCAGCAACTGGCCATTTATGTAGCAAACTAATATAAGAATATATTAAACTAAATGTCCAGCAACTGTGTTTATAAAACTAACCCGTCACATGTAGAAAAAGATTTACAAACGGATTTGAGATTTAACCTTAGACCGGTGACGTAACTTGGACTCGACATCAGACTTGTGCACAGTCACACATACGATGTTTTGAAAAATGCCTAAAAAGTTGCCCTTGGAAAACGTGTGAGCTTGTTTGGATACCATAAAAACGCAGATTCACGACATTCCACGTAGCAGAAGAGCCGGCTCTTGTTGTTTATCAGGTGTAAGTCTAGAGGGTTTCTGCTCCACACCCACCTCCATGACAGCAGAAGATCTTCTCATCAACGATGGCAGCTATGGGCAGACAGTTGAAACAGTCTGTGAACGTCTTCCAGAGCTTGATGTTGTAGCGTCTCCTGCCTAAACACACAAACATGAGCTTAATATCACCTACAGGTTTTATTATTTAAAAGTGGTTAAAATGTAAATGAATAAAAAGAGCTCTAGAGGGACAGACTCTGCTAAAAAATACATATAAACGGCGCTAAATAATTAATCCTGCACTGAATAGGAGTCACAGAGTTCTGCTTAAAGTGCATGTTTAGCTCTTATTAGAGTTTAAAACAGGGTTAAATGCAGTGGAATCTGCTTATGCATTTGCTTCTGTCCATGTGGAGGATTAAGTTAATGTGAACATCCATGAAGGTCTAGTGTTCCAGCAGGATTAGTGATTACAATATACAGCCAAACAATCTGGACACCTTAAATGTGACCCTGGAGCACAAAAGCAGTCTTAAGTCGCTGGGGTATATTTGTAGCAATAGCCAACAATACATTGTATGGGTCAAAATTATAGATTTTTCTTTTATGCCAAAAATCATTAGGATATTAAGTAAAGATCATATTCCATGAAGATATTTTGTAAATTTCCTACTGTAAATATTAGAGCCCGACCGATATGGGTTTTTTGGAGGCCGATGCCAATACCGATATTAGGGAGTAAAAAAACACCGATACCGATATATCGGCCGATATTCTTTATGTGTAGGCTATATTATAGTACAGTAGAGTCAAAAGGTTGGACACACTTCCCATTCGTGTGTCCAAACTTTTGACTGGTACTGTATATAGAATACAGTATATAGCCTACATAAACAGAATATATATACATAAACACATTTTTTGCAATGATAACTCAAATGTGGTGATCAAACACTTATAATGATGTGACAAACACAGGCCTATGTAGTGGAGGCAGGGTATTTAACAATTTAACAATAAACTTTATTATTCAAAATGAGTCTGACATCAGTGCACTTAACAGTAAACTTCACTTCACTTATTATAAATAACTTAAATAACACAAATAGAACAAAATATATATAACTTGCATTAAGAAATTAAACAAGGTAACTGTGTAGGGCAAGCAAGATACTTCTAAACCAACAGTGGCAGGTTTATGCAGGAAGCACAACTTTTCCAAATGTAAATATCTAAAATGAATAAATAATAATAATTAATAATATTAATTTTTTTCACAAACTCTGTTGTGTATTTTCTGGTAATCAAATGAACATGCAGAACATTCGTATTTAAATAATCTTTTTGCAGTTTAATATTCACAGACACAGACTATATATATACACACATATACTTACCTGTTTTTTATTTATTCATCAAAAAGTAGACAAATTCCATGAAATTCCGCGTTACACATTAAATTCTGTTTTTATGACTGGATTCTGCGATTCCGTTCATGTTTTCTGCATCGCGGAAATCATAGGGCCCTACTAATGTAGCAAACGAATATGATAAGCTCATTGTGAGAGTAAAAGACGGGGACATTGTTGTTTATTTACTGAGCATTGAGTCTCTCCAACTAGGTGACAACGTAGTGTTAAATCAGCATTCAACAGACTCAAACCACAACCGCACTGCCTTCTACTGGACTGCAGAAAGATACTAACTTTTCAATCTGTTACGCCGCAACAGGACGCAACAAAGCGACTGCTGAAAATCATTTGAACTTTGTGTCAGCACGTCATAAATAGAACGAGGCATCAGTTTACTGCATCCAGTAGAGATGGGCGATATCTTATCGTTTGCGATATACCGGAAAAAATGTTCCGCATGATAAGAATTCGTCTTCCCGCGATAATAACGATAAAATAATATTTCTATTTTTTTATCAAATGAATGCAGCCTTGAGTAACTTTTGATGTTATATATATATATATATATATATATATATATATATATTCTACTGTATTTTGTTGCGCCGCACGATGTGATGTGACCGATGTGATAAGCATGAGTTCTGGGCCGCAGCGCGGCTGGCCGTAACACAGGCTTTAATGCACCACACACACGTTCCGTGATGTGCAAATCAGCTCTAGTCTCTAACGTCGCTGAATCTGCTGTTAAATGAACCATCCATTCATCATATCATCATGCAAAACTAAGAATTAGAATCATTGTAATGTGACGATCAAATATAAGTGCGGCTGGGTGGCGGGCGGGCGGATAATTTGAAGCAGCGGACTCAGGTGAAGTTTGAGCTCC